CATAATGTCCAGCAGTTTCTTTAGTGTCCTTTTCTCTGCCACTGTCCAGCTTCATGCTGACCACAGAGCCAGCCTTCCTGATTAGTTTCTCCAGCCTGGATGAGTCCTTCTTTGCTGTGCTGCTCCCCCAGCACACCACAGCACAGAAAAGTACTCCAGCAACCACCGACTGGTAAAACATCCTCAGGAGCTTCCTGCAGATGTTAAAAGACCTCAGCCTCCTGAGGAAGTACAGTCGGCTTTGGGCTTTTTTGCACAGGTGCTCTGTGTTGCATGACCAGTCCAGTTTGTTGACCACCTCCACCTCCTCCCTTAATATGCATTCTGAATTTTTGGAGTCTACCCCCGAACGTAAAGCCCATATTTTAATAAGCTAAAACGACAGAAACGCTTAAACCATCAAAACTAAATAAAACTGAGATGTTAAAATATTAAAGATGAAACTGAAACTATCGAACCCACTTTGGAAACCATCCGACACAAAAACAAACCAAAACAAACACATAAATGTGCAACCTCTGTGTTTCACTTTTCTACCACTCTGTTAGTTGACCCTGTTTCAGCTGTGACACACTTTAAAGTGCAGTAGTGGGCTGAGGCAAGGTCTCTCTCTCTCTCTCTCTCCCTCCCAGACAGTTGTGTCATTATGAATGTGCAGACAAATTAAAGGAAACCCCAAAGAACCCGAAGCATGAGAGGATCCAGAGGCTCTGTTGTGCAGTTTCAGAGCAGTTCGCTGACACGGCTTGGGTCTACTTGTCTCTTTAAAAGTGAAGGGTCACTGTAAATCAATGGAAAGCTGATTGACTGTGTCAAAAATTCAAAAATAGTTTGATGAGGATACAAAATGATGTGTTATATCATGATTAAAACACAGAGTGAGGAGGCATCTTCTTTATGTTTCACATCATGTCTTATCAAAGGCCACATCTAGGGCAATTCAAGCTCAGCACATTTTAGCATCAGCGCTCTCCGTCGCTGCCCCCTGCAGTCTCTATCTGTCTCAGCAAGGATGAGAATGAATGACACTTAGATGAAAAGACAGATTTTCAAATTCAAAGAGAAGATGAGTCATTGCACAAACAAAAGAAACGTAAAGAGCCCGATAACGTTTTTCACAGAATCTGTTTACAGTTTGCATATTCGCCGTTTATTACCAACATCTCCACGTCTCTCACCAGGACAGAGAAGATTGATAAGGTGATAAAGCAGTGGGAGGGCTCCTTCTTCAGGGGGAATCCCAAGCTGAGGAAGAAGTCCGTGTCGCTGCGCTTCGACCTGCACATGGCCGCAGCGGACGAGGGGTGCGCCCAAACTAAACAGGACAGCCTCCCCGACGTGGAGGTGCGTCTCATCATGAAGAGATCCCGCAGCATCCCGACCATCACGCAGTAACTCGGTCACCGTCGGGCCCGAGCTGACACCGGTTTGCGGTAACAGAAATAACATTTGGGCACGTTACCACCCGTCACCATCGTGCTTAATCTGAATTTTAGCTGATGAGCTCCCATCAGATCTCATCTTTGACAGGATGATCATTAACCATCAGGCTTTTGTGGTGACCATTTTTATAGTGTCAGAAAGACTTACAGTCATTACTTCACAGAGGATAAGTATTTAATATGTAAAACATATTTCTGCGTCATCATTTTAGATGAAGAAAAGTTTGTTTCTGTTAGGTTTCACTGGATTAAAGACATCATAACAATGACTCTGCTTAACTACAGCATTTAACCCTGATTAGCACCTGGTACAGGAAGCTGAGAGCACAGGTAGACTTGGATGGATGGAGACACAGCACTGAGAGCTGCTGTGAACTACCTAAGAGTGGATTTTCATGTTTTGGTAGATTTTCTGTGAGGGGCTGTATGAAAATTACAAAGTTTTGTTTTTTATTTGTTTTGTTTTTTTGTAGGAATGACATATAAAATTTGTCAATGTCGCAGAATCGTTCCACTCTGCATCTCAGAGCAGAGCAAAACGTGTGTAAAAACATCAATAAATAGATCAGAATTGGAAAATTGATGGAAGAATTTGGGAAATTTGCCATTTTCCCTTTTGATATGTGCATCGGTGACCACGTGGAAGTTATTTTCCCATCAGATCATTAACATTTAATTTAGAAGTGTTAGTCTTTAATCCTTCCACAGGTTTCTGCACTGGGAGAAAATTTTATCTGTTACAAAAGTGCAATTTGCACCATTTTTCAAAAAAACTTGACCAAAGAAGCCGCCTGATATTATTCTGACTGAAATAAAAATGCAATCAAAGTGTAATTTAAAGAGCACCTTTATAAATAGAGTTTACAAAGTGCAAAAGAAAAACTCTGAGAAGGAAAACTTCTACTGAAAGTCACATGATGGACGAAAGAATCACTGTGATGGCTTTCAAATGTTTCTCCTGCATTAGGTACCAATTAGTTTAACCTGTGGCCTAATCAGACTTTTAGGAGGGCCATCTGAGAGCTAAACCTACGTCTATTAACCAGCTGATATTCGTTAACACTGGATGGTTAGTAGATGGACATCCAGTCCCATCAGGTAACCTTTAACCGTGCAGCACACTTGGAAAAAACAGAAGTTGACCCAAAGGTGTGAAGACCAAATGAACAGCCCAGTTCTTTATGGGCGGTCCCAAAGTGCTTTTATTTATTCTGTGTGTAAAAATGGATGCGTTAGTGGCAGTACTGAGCAGGAAGTGCACGTGATCAGGTGAGAAATCAAAAGGTAGCGAATAAAACAGCGACAGGAAAAATATAAAAATCAAAATTAATAACAAATACTAATGATGAATTTAAAAAGTGAGTTTAAAAAATAATAAGAGATCATCAAATAGAACCGATTTAACAATTGTTGGACATATCAGACGGGTCCAGACTGTGGGGGGCAAAAACAGAAAGACCAGGTCACCTTTGGGTTTCAGGTGAGAGGAGTCTGTAGTGAGGATGACTCTGAGGTGAAAGAGAACAGATGGAAACAGAATGTTTGGGATTCCAGCACTGAGACGGGGGTCAAAAAAGCTTGTTTGCAAATGTGCCACGATTCAGGAGGTCATCCTGAAAGGCGGAGTCCTGCACAGATCACAGATTGATTTTTAAAAATTAATTTAAAAATGTAAATAGAAAAAAAAAGGTTGATGGAAAAATCATTCTAACTAATCTAATAGATCTATATACATTTTTAAATGACATCCTTTATTTATCCCAATAAAAGACAGTAACATCTCTTTTTCAAAACAGCAGCAGATACTTTAACAACACAGTCCAAACAAGTTCACGCAACTACAGATCACGCGCAACAGCAGGTCACATTTTAGTGCAACTTACTTCAATTTCCACATTATAACCATCTCTGACGATTTCAGGTACATGTAACATCAAATGTGCAGATGAGTGTCTTAAACTTTGCTTTTAAAGCAAAGCTTTGCTCCGTGTCCGCTAATTTTCATACAGTCCCTTCCTGCTTTGCACTGCAGACACTCACAGCACTGAAAGAAGAGTTTGTTTTACTCTGAGGGTCTTTTGTCATTGCGGTTAATCCTCTGTGTGGGGATTTAAAATAAATACAATAATATATATTGCTATGGCGTTATTGTGTGATACTCACTGTGAACTAAACAGCAGTGAGAATTTCGATTCCCCGTCTTAACCAGAGGAGGGCAGTGTTTGTAAATAGTTACCACTGCAGTGTGTTCTCAGTGCTCCACTCGGTCCTGTAACATGTCCTGTTGCACCTTAGACTCAAGTTTTTATGCTTTCTTTTGAGTTGGCACCAAAGATAAATAAATATATATATAAAAGAAGCGGACCGCTGAGCTTTGCATTTGGGTCCCTTAAAATATGTTGAGAATATTTAAAAAAAATTACCTATGCAGTTCTGTACTTGGTTTTGCTTTGCTTCAGGAAGCACACTCTTCATTTTGAGAGCTCAGAATGAAGCATTATGCTTTTATCTAAAGATTTATCATTTCAAATAAAACAGAGAAATATGTGCAGACTGTTGTGTTTTCTGTCACGTCCAAAATAAAGCTTCTTCTTCTTTATTATTTCACACACACTATTAACATATGAATAGTTAAAAATGTTTATTTTCCATCATGAAAAACAAAAATAAAAAAACACGAATATACAGAGAATAAAGTTTTTACAGTGCATCGCAGTGTAATAAATACATTCAGGGGTAGCTGCAGAATTTGAAATGAACTGACCAACCAGAGTTCATTTGTTTCTCTTCAAGTCTTTTCACCTTCAAACTTTTAATTACCGCATCGCTATATTTCGATGCATCAGATAATGCAAAGGGCTTCTGTTCTAAAACCATTCTCTCAGCAGTCTTAAAAGAAATAGTTGGCTTTGTTTTACTTTTACAAGCTGATTGGATGATATTCAAACTATGGCGCCTCATTCATTTACAATCATATGCTATAGGTGCAGTCCACTATATCCTAGTTTTTGCCATAATCACTCATATATCTTTTAATATGATTTTCATCATCTGATCAGACGCCGCAACCTAAATCAGGTTTTCCTTGCAATTCAGCAGAAACACAAACTTGTCCTGTTTTCTCCAAAGCAGTAGCGACACTTCCTGTGACCGCCACACTGCACAGGTTATTTGTAGAAGAACACAGTGTTAAACAGAAAGTGTAAGCAGGAGTCTTGAAGACGTATCACGCCGTCTCTGGGTTTGCATGTTTATGACTTGGATACAGCTGCCTGAATCACCTTGATGACTTCGCTGTGGGGCTGCAGGGTGTCATATTCTGCAAATACGTGACAAACATTCTCCATACCGGCTTCAATGCCCTTTGCCACAAAGCCAAACAACCTGTCGGCACAAAGAAACATGAGTCAGATTCATCTGCACCCCAAGAAGAAGATATTTTTGAAAGGGACCTCTTCTGCTTTTCATTATTTACTGTCAAATATATTGTTCTAAGTAGTATTCATAGAAGCCCCACCCACATCCTATTCAAACAATTGATTTATGAGGGGCAGCCAATAAGAAAAAAGCTGGCTTAAAAGGGAGGAGCTGACTGAAACACCTTATTTCAGAAAGAGGATGAACTGAGTTCCTGCACCAAGACACAGTGTAAGATAAAGAAGGATTATTTTGAGCTGCTGCTGATGCAAAGCTACACTAATACAGCTAAAATGTGTAAATGAACAGAACAGGTCCCCTGTTTAGACTTGAAGTTCAGATTACCTTGCACCAAAACTTGAACCTCTCGTCCACCTGTGAGCATAAGACAGACAAATGTTCAGATTAGAAATGAAACACATTGATGACCATCAGTGGAGATGATCTCCATGTCGTGCATACTCACACTCGATCGTCTGGATCTTCACCACCGTAGCTCAGCATGTGAGCGGGGTAATGGCGCCTGAAGAAGAGCCTGCAAGAAACGATGAGTCTTGACCCAGTGTCACACACAGACCACACCTAAACAGCACGGCAGCGCATAAAATCTCAGCAACGCGTTGATTTCATGTGTTTTCTTACTTCCTGTTGATGTCTGTGAGAGTGACACCCTTCAGAGACACTTTCATGTTGACTATGGTTGGTGTGAAGGAACCCGGAGCCTTCTCGAGTGTTGAGGACACCGCCCTTTGCACTGCACAGGGGCCCGTCAGCATCTCAGTGGGGATGGCGTTAAGGTAGACAAAGTTGGAGGCTGTTGACAAGACAAACAAACACTTGTTAAACATAGAGATGAGGGGTTGTTTCGACTCTGCCACTGGGAGACTACGTCCACACGTACCCGGGTATTTTTGAAAACGCAGATTTTTCTATGCGTTTGCACCTTTCGTCCACAC